TTTCACCTTAGACTCTATAACATGGAGGCTCTCTCCCCTAAATGCTGGCTAGCTGCTACTGTAAACTTGTTTCAAGGTGATAAAAACATTAAAGACAGTGAGATCACGTGGCTTCTCCTGATAATTTTACATAACAGAGAGTGACAGAGGGCACATTAATATCTTTCCATTCTCATCTTAAGCACAGAATAAACCTCAGTGGCATTATCTGAACGGAACTCTACTCACATTGCTATATTTGATTTCTAAAAGCCTGCCCCATTCAGAAGCAATTATATGTATCACCGAATTAAAACACTATTTAAATTAACAATTAATATATAAAATTGTCAAATTTTTGAGGAAGTATGAAAGCATAAAAACTGAAATAAAATATTTTAATGCTTTTGGATGAACTAGAGAACACTGAATATAAAGACTGTCTGTTGTTTCCTATTGAAACTGTCTTGTAAAAAAGAAGCTAGTAATCATCTTCTCTTCCCTAACTGTGAACTCTGAAAGCCTAGCATTTAAATTCAGTATGGCTCTAAGGAGGATATTCAGGATGAGTGTTAGAAAAAAAATATGGTTAAAAGAAAATCAGAAATTTGTGAGTTTGTATTGAAAAGGAAAAAAAAAACTTGACAAGCAAAAATTTTTAGAGGGTCTTACTAAAAGCTTTGGCAGTTTAGAGATAAAAAGTAAATTAATACAGCAAATAAGATACTAAGATTGGATATGAAATGAAAATCCAAATTTTCCTTACACACTATTTTTCTGACAAAAAAAAATTTTTAAAATGCAACCACATTTAAAAACCAATATAATAAAAGAAAAAATATGTATCATTGAAGATTTAAAAAATTTAGGACAGTAAAGAAACTAGAAAAAATTTGTATGAAGTACACTGAAAGAGATTTTATGATATAAAATTTAAATGTCAGAGATCATAGAAAGTAAATCAAGAATCAATAAAAAAAGACCACTATTTTACTGAGACACGTAATTGTTAATTCATGTTTAAAGTAATATTCTGATGCCAACTTCAATAATCTTGTTGCCAACCACTGAATTATCAGGTATATTAGTAAAGTTTTCTTGCACTTATTTGAAATGCCTTTTGCTAGTGTCACCAAAGACTTTCCACATCCCCAAATTATAATTAGTTTAGAATCTGTATTTAAAATTTATTTGATATTATTCCTAAATAATTGGCTAATATCTCCAAGTCTGGAATAACCTTTATTCTACCTTTATTCCCAGTCCCTTACTCTATTAATCTCTTGAAACCCTCCCTTGACATCCTGTCTGTCTTTTCTTGTTAGATGACTCATTTTTAGTTAGTACGCAAATGGGGAGTAGTCAGAGGTTCCATTTATCATCTCCTCTTCTCATCGTCTGAAATATTTTCTACTTTCATGGCTAAAGTTATAGGTAATGAGCTTAACAGTTATTTCTGTCATAGTTTCATACACATTCTCCTACTTATTTTTTCTGACATTTTTTTCCATTTGGGAATATTTTATGTTATTTTAAAGACCTCTAAAATTTATTTTGTGATTCTCTGAGCTGTGACCTGGGTAATCTATTTTTTTTAATCATATCTTATTCTGATTTTTACAAGCATGTTTCTATTGTCAGAATGAGACTGTCACTTCCTTTATGGTAGACAGATTTTCTTCTTTATCATTGTATAACTAATACAGAGCTGTTTAGGTCTCCTAGCATTCTAGTTGGCCAGCAGCAGAACATTTGCTATTTAATTTTGAAAAAGCAAGAATGCTAGCAAGCTATTGATGTCATTTTCAAAGATCTCAACATTTCCACTATAGTCAACTACTTCTGGATTGGGCTTTCAATAACATTAACTCTCATATCAACACCATATTAAGTTCAAAATTTCCTCTAGAGTCCTACATAGCTTATATCTTTGTCCCAATATTTTATGATTTCCCTATGTAGAAGAGGATCTCTATTTCTAATTTTATCACTACCTACCACATTCCCACCTAAGCCTTTCAACCCATTTCATGTGGCTACTCAGAAGTATATTTGAGAGAGGACCACAGGCAGTGGCTCACGCCTATAATTCCAGCACTTTGGGAGGCCAAGGTGGGTGCACTGCTTGAGTCCAGGAGTTCAGAACCAGCCTGGGTATCATTGTAAAATCCCATCTCCACTAAAAATGCAAAAATTATCCAGCCTTGGTGGCACATGCCTGTAGTCCCAGCTGCTCGGGAGGATAAGGTGGGACGATCACCTGAGCCTGGAAAGTTGAGGCTGCAGTGAGCTGTGGTCATGCCACTGCACTTCAGTCTGGGCAACCTTAGTAAGACTCTTGTCCAGAAAAAAAAGTGTGTTGGAGAAAGGAAAATAATTCTTAGCAGAAAGTTTAACAAACTATCAATCGTCAAAGTTGATGTGCTTTGAAAATTTGAAATAGTTGATGTACTATTTATACTTGTATATTTGTAATTACTGAAGATTTTACCCTGGCCTGTATTAAACATGTTACAATGTATTTCTATAGCCAACTTTTCACACCTCTAGCATTATCTTTGCCATTATATCATTGAATTCTGGAGTGTTTCAGATGTCTACTAGTTGTAAGCAATCAAAACACAGATTATATTTTATTCATTTGAATTAAAAAAGTAAAAATGATAGGGGCAATTTCTGCTAAATTGATGGAATATTACAAATACCTTGTGGTATAAAAATATTTGGCAATTTGAAGGATGAAATATCTGGTAAAGTTAATGCAAATTAAGCAAGGAGATATATTTGCAAAGTTAAAGAAGTATTTTTTAGAGTATTGTTATGATTTGAATCTTTGTGTCCCCTCAAAATTCATGTGTTAAAATTCTAATACCCAAGGTTACAGTATCAGGAGATGAGACCTTTGGAAGATAATTAGGTCACAAGAAGGGAATCCTTATGAACAAGGGTTAGTGGGCTTATAAAAGACACACTACAGTAATCCCCTGCTCCCTTCCCTATGTAAGGACACAGAAGACATTATCTATGCACTAGAAAGTGGGCCCTCACCCAACAGAGAATCTGCTGCCACCTTAATCTTGGACTTTCCAGTCTCCAAAACTGTGAGAAATACACTTCTGTTGCTTGCAGGCTGGTCAGTCTATACTATTTTGCTATAGTAGCCAAAAAAGACTGAAACAGGCATGCTGAGCAGCATGGGTTTTATTCAAATTGCAATGAGATACCGTTGAATATATTTAATCAAAAGTGTATCATTTTAAGTTTTAAATTTTTATTTTATTTTTTAGGAAAAGAGTTTTAGTTTGTAGCATAGGTTGGAGTTCAGTGGCAAGATCCTAACTCACTGCAGGGTTCACCTCCTGGGTTCAAGTGATGCAGGTTTGGGAAATTTTTAAAAAGTTTATATTTTGTTTAAAATTTAAATTCAAGAAAAAGAGTGTAATCAGAGGAGGGTCATCTGTTTATATTCCAGGACTGGAATAAAACCCTTAAGTTTATTATATTAAAATACTTGTTTCTTACATTTACAAAACCAAAAATATGATTGTTTTAATTCTCAAGATTGAAGAAACTGAATAATAGTACCTTGTATAAACTCAATTTAAGATAGAGTGATTTCTGTGCCAGAAAGTTAATTGAGGGGGTGTTGATATTAAATACAACTGCCAACAGGACTAAATACACACTTCTTCCGGTCAGCATATTTTCTTCCTAGAGAGAAAACTAAATGAGAAGCCAAATTATAATTCACAGATTTTGTGACAAACAGGGAATCAAGGGATAATTGAAATGTAATCAGAACAAAATAGGGATGTGAGTGCCTCTTGTGCTTAATAGATCTAGTTCTTGAGTAAATCAAAAGAAATGAAGATGGATAAGAAGAAAAACCGTAAGGTAAGGATGGCTGTTTATTAGATGTTTTAAAATTAAGATTATCATACATTGTTTCAGTTGTTTTGTTCCTGATAAATCAAAATAAATGTTATATTTTCTATCAGCCATTCATCATGTTATAAAATATTCATTATAATAAGCATCAGAGCCTGCTTTACATATTCTGCAATCTAAAAGATGTGTGGGTTTCTTTCCAGAGTCACATAAAAATTATACTTGATCTGATTGTATGTGAATAATAGACGCTTCTCTCTTTGAGCAGAAGCTGATTACTTTGTTGAAAATACAAGGACAACATTGAACAGTATCTTTGAGAACCTAATAATTGCATAACATTTCTTTTTAATAATGAAAACCTTTTTTTCTCAGAGAAAATAAAATGTTATATAAACAGAAGCCTAAAAATCCATATGAACTTTCAGAACAAGACAGCACAGAGGAGAAAAACCGTAATTACTGTGATATCAGTTCTAACAGAAGGGGCTTAGATTCTTAAAAACAGTATGAAGAAGCTATGATAAGAGCTTATTTATAATATATCTCCTCTCCTTTGGTCATTTGCTCTTTTGTTTTGTTTTTTCTTCAAAGGGTGTTTATATTATTAGTTTTAGATAAAGTAGTGTTCTTGAACTAAAGTTGGTGCCACATTTATCACATAAATTTATACTGTTTTGCATTACTTGCTAATTATCTTATGTGCAGTAGTCAGCCTTCTCTAATTAAATTGTAGTATTATTGAGAACAGGAAATAAAGCTAGTACTTGTTTTTTAATCACTTCAGTAGCCAGCATCCTAGGCTTTCAGTGCAGAAATCCTAGTAACAATCTATTAGTCAATGTATATTTATGAATAAATTTTCTAAGAACATTGGTTTGTGGGAACATCTGGTATTCTGGTTTTAGGCTAGTCTGACTTAATCCCCTTTGTAAAGTTACTGTTTGAAAAACAAAATTGTTTTATACTTTATTATAAAACCTTTCCTAGTTATATTTTAATTTTAGCAATCCTAATTGAAATATTAAAGTCTTATTCACCATAATTACCAGCTATATCGTTGGTGATATGTTTTAAGGGATATAAAATTCTTTCTTTTGTCTTTTAAAAACCTGAAATAGGTGTATGTCTTTGTATCACTGTTTTTACTTTACATAAGATCCATGTTAGTAATTTAAAATCTAATTAAGCATAGTATTTTTAAATATCAGATTAGAAAATAAACACCCTTTTGCATCTCACACTAAGATGATTATCCTGTGTTTCCCTCATTATGCATGCCATTATCCGTGTTACATTATTCTTATTTAGTTTCAGTCTATGAAGAGTGGACTGAACACAAATCTAAACAGTCATTCTTTCAGCAACCCAGGTAGATAAATAACTTTAATTTACACATGAAGACTGAAATTAGTTTAATAATATTTCAAAGAAAAAATGAGTGGGGAGAGAGGTACAACATATTAGCTTGGTAAAAGCAAATAGTTTTTTTTTAAGGAGCTTAGAACTTTCGTCTTCAGCCCTATCCATAAATGACTCATGACTGCTACCTTATAGAAGCAAAGGAAATTTGGTTTGATGTGCAGCTGCTCCTCCTGCTGCTGCAGGCTTGGATCACCAGCCCTAGTAAAATCCAGGTATGTATTTTTCACTTCATCAGATCTCTAAACAACTTTCAAAGGCATTACAGTAAACTTTGTCTCTCCCTCCCACTATATTGCTTTTCTATAACTGCTGCAACAAATGTACCACAAATTTAGCAACTTAACACTTATTTATTATCCTACAATTTTGTGTGTCAGATGTTTGGTGTCAGTCATTTGAAGCTCTTATCTGGGGACTCTAGGGAGAATCTGCTTCCAGTTTCATTCAGGGGATTGGCCAAATTCATTTTCATGCAGTGTTAGCACTGGGGTCTATATTTCCTTGCTGACCACTGAAAGAGGAGTATTCTTCTAGAGACTGTTTGTATCCTCTAGGTAGTTCATATTTAAGACTATTGATTGCTCCTTAATTCCTTCATATGCTTTTTATATTTCTGGTTGACTCACTCTTCTGTTTGTTTTCCTTTTCTGCTTTTACCAGCTCCTATGATTTCTTTGAGCCCACCTCAATAAGCCAGCATAGTGTGCCTATTTTAATCTTACCTAATTTAAAATGTTAATTTATCTTTTCATCTTCAATGTCCCTTTATAACAGTGCCTAGAGTAGTGTTTCAATGTCTATCCCTAGGCAAAAATCTTGTGACAGTGAATTAAGCCTGCTACAAACAAAAAAATTGATATTTAAAGCTAAGTGTTCTGATATGCCTTCTATTTCCTTTCTTGTTTGAAATCTGAGAAGTATGCCTAAAAATTTACATACTTTACACTCCCACCCAATTAATAAATATCTATTTTGAACTAAATAAAGTTTAACCTGTTGGAGAATCAAGTCATGCCAGTTCATTGGTGGAAATCAAGAATACTGAACTTATGTACTGAGCCAGCCACTACACTATCAGCTGGATTGAACGCACCGTGTTCATTTCTTCTGAACTTTGTGTCCCATGACATCACATGAATAGCTGAAAATCAGCCTTGGTAGAAGCATTTATACCATGGGGATTAGCAAACAATACTGCAAGTTGCAATAGATTATGCTATGACTGAGGTTTGCAAAGGTAAAGGGATAAGCAAACTCGGTGGGTGAAAAGGGAGAGGCCAGCGAATATTTCTTCGTGAAAGCAACACAGTAAGCATCTTGAAGTCTCAAGTGTTTTTCAGTTCTTTGGAACATTAAATGTTCTCATTTGGTGATTATATCAGACAGACCAGAAATGCATGTCTTAACTTGCACATGCTGGCTTCAGTGAGCTTGAGCAATTGAGTTAACTTATTCAGGATTCAGAGTCCAAAACTGTTGGGTTTGTTTGTTTATTTAAATATTCAATAAATACATAGTAAGCACTTCCATGTATCATGTGAGATACTAGACTTGAGAATGAGGTAAGAAATAAATATTTTTATTAAACAAAAATATGCTTCATATACATTCTACAGATTTGAACCCCAATAAACAAATTTAGCGATAATGATTTTGTGTTTTATGACCTCTTTAACAATTAAAGAAGTTTAAGAAAACTTTCTTAAAAACACTTATATGAAGATATATAACAATTTATATACAGTTTTAAGAAATCAATCAGGCATTTTATGCCCATTCATTGAGTTTGTATCCATGCAACTCTGTTAAAATTTGAGAATTTTAGGAGAACATGAAAATAAGGTAGAACTTCATTTTTAAAGACATAGTAGAAAAAAATACTAAGGAACACAGTCACTACACAATGTGTTTTGGTGTGACTGAGTAATAGGCTATACATATAGAACAAATACAATATAAGCAACAATAGGTGAATCAAATTAATGCCATGGATGGCATTGTGGGTTTATGTAGACAATTTAGTGCTTTAAGTTCACTTTTGGGATTGGATTTTATAAACTGTTTTTTGTCTTCTGTGTTGCATTATGAGAGAGATCTTCTTTTCATTTTGGAGGAAACTGTTTTAAGAAGGCTTGGGATATGGTATAAAATTCCCTAAGCCTGAGGGAGAAAAATTCCCTTTTTTCCATTGCAGTTATTTCCTTTGCATTGATATTTTCCTACTTCTTCATTCTAAACAACCAGTAAGTTCTAAAGTGGTAACATCAGAACTATCTTAACTGAGAGTCTTCCGAATATTTAAACAACACATTTTAACTGGCTTCCAGCTTCCTAAGTCTTAAATAATTTTTTCATAAAACAGCCAGAGGTTTCATTGCTTTTAATGAGCATGAGGCAGAAAAACTTAAGCTTCATTTTGTAATTGTTTTTGAAACTCTAAACGGAAATGCAGAATAGATTAACTTTTTTAATAATAAAAGCAAAACCAAGAATTTATCCTTAGGCAAATTAATAGCCAAATAAATTTCTTATTTCCAGTTTCTTCAGGACAATTATTTTTAAAATCTAATATTGTTCCATTTAAGTAGGGAAAGTTAATATTCTCCATGCAGATCTAATATTGAAAAAAAAATTCCATTCTAAAGGTACATTTGCATTTGCATTCTGATTTTAAGGAACAATGAGTTTGTTTCAAAATAAAAATCAATGTAACTCTAACATAGTAACATATTTTTATAATTTTCGTTCATTTATATGTTTGTTCTCCGACTCTTAATTTGACAAACTAGTCTTATTAACACATGCCTGTTATTTTTTCATTTGTGCATTAGTTTATAGTTTTAATCATTATTTCATTGCAATAAACATTTAAAACAAATTACTATTATTAATGTGAAAATTTAAAATAAATAAATTGAGAAAAACTTAACATTTGACTTTCTGTGAATAACAATGAACATTGAGAGGTCTTCACTGTAGTCTCATAGCATATTCATAAGGAAAAGTTCTTATGGCATTTATTTAAGCTATTTTCATTCTAAATTCCTATTCACATTATCATAAAAATTCCATTTATATATTTGAATGATGTGATAGAGAAAGCATAACATTTGCTTAAAAATAGTAACTAAAACTTGAGTAAGTATTTTCTACGGTTTGGATATTTAACCCTCAAAACCTCATATTGAGTTTAGATTCCCAATGCTGGAGATGGGACCTCATGTTTTGATCATGGGAGCGGATCCCTTATGAAGGCTTGGTGCTAATCTCAAGGTGATGAGTGAGTTCTTGCTCTATTAGTTCTCATGAGAGCTGATTGTTAAAACGAGCCTGGCACATTCCTTCTCCCTCTCTTGCCATCTTCTTCTCACCACATGATCTCTGCACATGCCTACTCCCCTTCACCTTCTGCCATGAGCTGAGCAGCCTGAGGATCTCACCAGAGGCAGATGCTGATGCCATGCTTCTCAAACAGCCTTGCAAAGTACAAGCCAAATAAATCTCTTCTTTATAAATTACCCAGTCTCAGGTGTTACTTTATAGCAAAACAAGTAGACTAAGTCAGTATCACATATATGTATAGTACACACACGTGCACACACACACACACACACACTTTGCTACTATACATAACATGTTTCTTTGTATATATATAAGCGCAAAAGCATATAGAATATATTCATTTTAAAAAATTAAAGTATGATTAACAAATTCTTTCAATATATTTTTTCAAATTAGGGGTGGAGAGCAACTATATTACTGACTGCTGAAGAGGCTGGGGTACACGAAGTAAAACCAAGCCATCCCAATGGCCATATAAACTATACATACCTTTTTGAAGAGTCACAACTTTTGATTCAATATTGTTATGAGAAGTTAAAATTAATTTTAAAGTCTAATCCCATTTGTATAATTCAAAGAGACTGAAAATTCCATGCAACTTTGAGACGATGCTGTAACAGGAAGGGACTCTTGAATGCCTTGGGAGGTGGGTGTATTTTGTCAATAAGAAAGACATGAAGCATAGAGGATTAGACTTGCTGATGATGCTCTGTTGAACTTTTTTGAGTACAGCTCATTGACTATATTCTCTCCATCTTTGTATCTGTGAAATTATAAAGTCAAATTTACTGCCTTTATCCTACATACAATGTAGAAGGAAATTTATACCTATTATAGAAATTTTTGTTCAAAAACTGGGGATATGGAAACCATAAAAGGGTCACAGGAAATTCTGAAATCTAACTCTGAAAATATTGGGCATTCCTTGATTAAGTTTCAGTCTGGGAATGTCTTTTCTTCCTTGCAGTTTCCCAAACTGACCTGTAGACATAATGCAATTCTAGTCATAATCTCAGCAAATTGCTTTTTCCATGATTAGACAACCTGATTCTAAAATGTATTAAATATATAGAAATAGACTCATAATTACAAAATGATCTTTTCAAAGTAGTACAAATATGGAGAACTTAAATATATGATTAAAACATTAAAACGGAGTGAGATTTGAGTAAGGATAGATAGACTAGTGGAACAAATAATTAGAACTATAATACTAGAATAGAACTATAATTACACAGTTAAGTGATTTACACACACACACACGCACTCCCCAAAGAACAGTCCTTCTATGTTGAAGATGCACCTTAAACAAACCTCCTAAATCAACTAGAAATCCAATGGATAGCTTTAGACTGACAGATCGATAATATTATTGTATGTACCCCAATTAAGTTACTTGAAAACACATCCTAGCAAAATAGGGGAATAAGCAGAAATGAAAACATAGAATATCCAAATATGGATTCAAAGGAAGAGAGGCAATGAAGAATCCAGGAATATCAAATGTATCAAAAGTTACTGAAAGTAAAGAGTCCTGATTCAGTTAAGGTAAGGGAAGGCTCCCCGAAAGCTGTCACATGGAAAAAGATAAAAATTATAATTATACTTAGCAATTCGGAAAACAAGATTAAGGGGAGATATACAAACCCCTAGAGGGGCAGAAAGATTAATCATAGGCTACCAATATATTAAGTGTATTTTGAGAACAGTCATTATATTCTTAAGAACTTTGAGGGGTATAAAAAATAGGGACATAATAAATCATATACTAAATACAGTAAGTGATGAAGTATTTTAATTTATCACTGATGCTACATAGTCCCCAAATCCAGTAGAATTGTAATCAATTTGTTTGACAGAACTTCAGTCTTTCTAGTAACAGTCTTTCAGATCAAAATTAAAGAAAATTATATTGTATACTTGAGCAATGTCCTTTATAGAGTCTTCATGCTCAGCCATAAAGTCAATTACATATGTCTAATAAGAATTATAAATAATAGGACAAAGTATTTCAGTTAATATATTCTATTAATCTATTTTAATTCAGAAAAGTACACTAACCTATTTAGTTTTAAGATTTAATATATGTGAAGAAATTTGGGAGGATTTCTTTAATAATCTATATGCATTCTTTGTTTTACATTTTTTCAGGCAAACACATGACCTGGACAAATATGTGCAAATACAATAATCACTGCAGTATATTACACTGGAAATGCAGTGGCAGGCATTGTATTTTAGTAAGTTATTTTGTAAAATCTTTGAGTCATCCTTAACAATATCTTTTGTTAAGGATGATCAGGTTGCAGATTATAAAATGCCCTAATAGTACCAATAAATTAGACTCACCTTTCTCAAAAGAAAGTGACTAACAGTATTTTGTTGCTGAGTTAAACAGAATAAACATCTAAGAACTTAGCCAGAAGGCTGAGATTTTAATTAGTTATTAAGGTGCTCAGGTTAATGTAAATCAGATTTGCCTTTCTAGCTAACGAATCCAGATTGACAGTGGCATTCATATTGTCATTAAATCTTGAACAAACACTAATTTCCCAGCGCTTGCAAGAATATGACTTGGAAAAAGATGAAAAAAGAAATACTATAGAGTATTTTGTTAATTATCGAGCTTTTTTCTTTGTTTATGTTTACCAGACATATAACCTTTCAAATTGAGCTTATAATCAAATGAAATACTTTTTAAAAACTGCTTATTGGAATCAAATGATTACTCTTGGCTTTGCTTAACATCTTTTTTTAATTTTCATTTTTAATAGCCAAAAAAAGTTTCTTGTCACTGTTTCTGAATAACTCCATGACCTCCTGCTCACAAGTTAAAATGTATTTCAATTGCCTAATTAAGAACAATCTACCCTTTCTAAACTCTCAAATAAAAGGGGCTTAATTGTTAGTATACCCACCTACCCTCCATGTATAAATTAAATGTAAGAAACACCTTATGTTTAGTATGCTTGGAAATGAGACTATTTTGTTCCTTCATTTTTCTCCTTAAAATGTACAATTTCCCTTTTACATTCCAGATTTATACAGACTAAAATATTCTATTACTTACTCTAATATTCATGTAATACTGTCGGATCTACCCATGTGACAGATGAGGAAACCAAGGAGCACAGTTATTTACTAACTGGCCCAAGGCAAGTGTCAAAATTGTCTTTGAAAATACTGATATCTTTTAAGGTTTATTCTATAATGGTTTAAGATCATGGATTACAGAATTAGAACAACTGGGTCTAATTACTAGTTCTAATATTTCTTGTGAAAATTGATTGAGATTTTATATATGCATACACATACATGTTTGTGTGTACATATATATAACAATGCCTTGCACATATGTAGTAACTAATATGTGTGAACTATTATATACATTACTTGGTGTTAATGTTTAGGTTGTTTCAATTATACCCTCAAAATGTAGTGACTTTTGAGAGTCCTATATCAAATTACTGGAAATACTCATGTATTTTTAAAGAGATTAGGGATTCTTAGCATTTGAATATGAATTGTGAAGATTAGTATTGATAAAATCCTTGGTAACTTAGCAGGAGTAGTTGCAGACGTGTTCCTTCTTTTCCTTAATAAATTATAAAGTATAAGAGCATTAAAGTCTACTTGTTTTTTATTGCTAAAGTTAAATATATATTTATATATATAGATGAAAATGTAGAATTTGAAGCTTTGGGTCATCTAGGTATGATTCCTCTGTGAGAACTTTTCCTGAGGAATTTTTTTTTTCATGGAGAGTGAAAAGACTAGGTGCACAGTGACCAGCTAAAGGGAGAATGAAGGAGTTCCAATACTGTGAGAATGGGATTGCAGGTGAATTTCCTGAAAATGGCAGGATTCATCAGAAGCCTTTCCTTATTTCAGAATGTTATGTATTATAATATTTAGTTTGTTTCTTATTCTGCTGAACAATCTCCAGTAATATGTGGTTTGTATTAATCAGAAATAGATATTTCAAGGAAATCAATGATAAAATATATATAAAGTAAAATATGAATCTTTACTTTTAAAGATTGTGCTCTTTGGTGCAAAAAGAATGGTGCATGTGTTTTCTGAAATGAGAAACCAGAGAGCAGACGAGTCATACATTCTCACTTCCTTTTGAAAAACTGACAATGGCTCCTGGATTGAACTTAGAGCTGGCCAATCAGAAGCAAGAAAATCTAAAGGTGGTTGTGAAAAATACATAGTACAGAAGTGGTGGTGGTGGCAAGAACCAGTTATTAGGGCTATATTACATAATAGTGCCAAATAAATTTCCTGATAGATTCAATGCACGGCGTAAGATAAATAGAGGAGTTGAGGATAATTCAAATATTTTGGACTATGCTAATAAGACAGGGGCTCTTTGCAAATATTTTTATATGTTTGCTTTTATAAAGTACAGAATCTTTGAATAAAAGCAAATCTGAAGGGGGCTATCAGAGTATGAAAATGTTAGATTGAGTTCAGATTGAGGCATATTAATTTGAGAATGTCTACTGTACTGTATGTTTAAGAAAAAATGTTGAATTGTTAAACATGACTCTGGATTTTAAAATAGAGACCATGACTGGAGATGCATTTGTTTTTACATTTTCAGCATCTAAATGATATTTAAAGCCATGAGACAGAATTTAGAAACTAGGGCAGTAAATCTTGATAATGAACTAAGTGACCTCAAAGTAAGCTGTGGAGCATTTCAAAGTTATATGGTTGGAGATTGAATGATGAGTTTCTGAATAAAGTAAGAAGGACCTGCAAGTGAGACATGAGAGGGAAGAGAAGGCATCTTGTCCCTGAAATAAAGGAACAGTTTCTAGGTAGTAGGAAGATTCAGTGCTGCAGGAAGATCAGGCAGGAAGTAAATTAAAAGTTTACATTAGACTTTCAAAGTGGATTTTATTTGTAACACTGACAATAAAAGTTTTGTTTTGTCTTTTTGAAGTGTTGGAATGGAATTGGTTCAAGTGAAAATGGAAAGTAATAAATCAGAGCCTGATGTCCTCATCTGTAAGAGTGAACAATACTAATAATTATTTCAAAGGGTTTTTAAGAATTAAGTTAGATAATTTCCATAAATTATAAAGCACAGTATCAGGTACATAATAAATACTTTGAAACTTTGTTTAAATGTTTGTTATAACTAATTATTTTAAAGACTATTACTAAGAAAAAAAATTCTAAAAGAACAGAAAAAAAGAATGGATATATTGCAACATCTGAGTTTTTTTAAAGTCTAGATAATTTTTATTATTGGAATTGCCAAATATTTCAATAGCCTATTGGAATTTAAAATGGTGTGCTTAAACAATTTAGGGAAAATAACAGAGATTAAAGGTCATTCCTTGCCTTTTTCATAATTTCACATACTTTCAAGTTAGGTATACTAGATATACAAAGTAGACTTTAGATAGCTACACTTCTGTAATTATATTGAGATGGAATTGGAAGCATTCTGTAATACAGGTGTAGTCAGTGTAAGCCTGCTTGCCTGAATCAGAGTTGTCCCTGAGAGTTGTCAGAGTCATAGATTGGCAGAGGCAGTATGGCGAATGGATATTTTTAATTTGTATTTAGATAAATCCTGTATTAGTCCTTTTACACGCTGCTATACAAAACTGCCAGGGACTGGGAAATTCATAGCGAAAAGATGTTTAATTGACTCACAGGTCCATGAGCACAGATGGGAAGGCCTCAGGAAACTTACAATCATGGCAGAAGGGGAAGCAGGCATGTCTTACATGGCAGCAGGCA